TCCTAAACTCAGTATCCTAATAACATCAATTCTTTCCTCACTGACTGAGAAATTCAATGCAATTTCAGTCAGATTCTCATTGGAGTTTTTTGTGAAACATGAATTTGACAGTGTATGTAGAAGAATAAAAGACCATAGTGAAAAAGACTGATTAATTTGAAAATTAATGTGATGAGCAATATAGTCACCATAAATAAATGAAGACACTTCAGTAACTACAAGGTATTTGCAATACAATAATGAATAAAAAGGCTATTATTCAAACTTTGTAGTCCTATTGTGGTGCTGTAGGACCAGCACTGAACTGTGAACCACAAGGGCGTAAGTTCTAATCTACAAGATTGCTCCTCGGCAACCCTATCTAGGGTCACTATTGAGTTGGAATTGACTTAACAGCACTTAACAACAACATCCAAACTTTATAAAGCCCTCCTAAAAATAAGTATGAAAAGTATCAACAATTCAATAGAAAAAAGGATGGAGGATATGAGAGAACAATTTAAGGACCAGTTTAATTAAGAAAAATGTTGTATGATGAGAAATAAAAACTAAAACCACACTTTGAATGGCAAAATGAAAAAAAATCTGATAATACCAAGTGTAGATGAGGATGTGGAACAAGGGAAATGTTCATAAAAGGTTGATGGAAATGTAGCTGGTATAAGCATGCTAGAAAGCAACTTTGCAATTTCTAGTAAACTGAAAATATGACTATTCAAAATTCCAGCAATTAGTTTTATAAATATATATGAAAGAAACTTTCCATATATGTGCAGTAAGTCAAAATAACTGAAAAAATATTAAATGTACATAAACAAGTGAACAGAGAAGTTGTGGTAGTTCATATTATAGAAAACCATAAAGCAGGTAAAATGAACTATAGACTATATGTGTATTAATTAAAATGATGACTGAGAAAACAAAGTTACAAACTTTGTTATAGATTAATTGAAACCAAAACCCCATAGCCACTGAGTCAGTTCTAGTCTTGGTTTATTAGTTTCTTTTACTGGATAATAAACTTTATGATACTATAATCTAGTTCTCAAAGTATCTAGCCTCTTTCATTGATTTATTTTTATATGTTCAATCTATGTTTTAATAGCTCTTATTTAATATGTTCTAATATCTAATGGTAAAATAGCCATAATCTCTTGCTAAATATTTTGAGTTATTTAGAGAACACAAATCATAATTATGATACATATGATCAATATCTAATTTTATTCTTTCTCTATACAGGGCTGCCAAGACTGTAAATCTTTATGGAATCATCATTCTCCTATGGAGGCAGGTTTGAACTGCTGATCTTGAGGTTAGCAGCCTAACATCTAATCTGCAGTGCTAACACATATACATATTTATATATATATTATAGTTATTAGATACCATCAAGTTAGTTCTGACTCATAGATAGCCTACACACAACAGAATGAAACACTGCGCAGTCCTGTGAGCCATTTTCACAAATGTTGTTATGCTTGATCCTATTGCGGCTGCCACTATGCTAATCCATCTCATTGGTGTGTGTGTGGGGGGGATGTCTTACTCTTTTTAGCTAATCTTCCATTTTACCAAGCATGGTATCCTTCTTCAGGGTCTGGTCCCTCCTGATAACATGTCTGAAGTATGAGAGACAAAGTCTCTCTCCATCTTGGCTTCTAAGGAGCATTCTGGCTGTACTTCTTCTAACACAGATGTGTTTGTCCTTCTGGCTGTCCATGTTGTTATTAAGTGCTGTGAAGTTGATTCCAATCCATAGCAACCATGTATAGTATAGAGTTTCCAAAGAACAGCTGATGGGTTTGAACTAGCCGACCTTTGGTTAGCAGTCCAGTACTTACCCTACAGTGCCACATTGGCACTTAGAATATTCTTCTCCAACTTCACAACTCAACTGCATCAATTCTTCTATGCTCTTTCTTTTTCATTGCCCACATTTCACATGCATATGAGGCAATTGTAAGTATCATGGCTTAGGTAAAACATACCTTAGTCCTCAAACTGATATCTTTACTCTTGAATACTGTTGAATACTGTGCAGCAGATTTGCCTAATGCAATAATCTGATTTCTTGATTTCTGCTTCCATGAGTGTTGATTGTTGATACAAGCAAAATGAAGTCTTTGACAACTTCAGTATTTTTTCCATTTTTCCTGATGTTATTTACTGGCTCAGTTACAAAGATTTTTTTTCTTTAAATCGAGATGCAATCCACACTGAAGGCTGTAGTCTTTGATCTCCATCAGTAAGTATTTTAAGTTCTCTTTAATTCCAGCAAACAAGGATGTATCATCTACATACCACAAGTTAATGAGTCTTCCTTCAATCCTGATGCCATGTTCTACTTTATATAATCCAGCTTCCTGGTTTATTTGCTCAGCATACAAATTGAGAAAGTATGGTGTAAAAAGAATATAAACCTGGCACATACTTTTCTTGATTTCAAACCATTCAGTATCCCCTTGTTCTGCTTGAACAAGTGCCTCTTGGTCTATGTACAGGTCCCTCATGAGTACAATTACGTGGTCTAAAATTAGAATCTGTTAAATAGAAAATGGACTTTATCCATCCACTTAAGACTACAATTCTGTGGTAGCTTACCATTATTCTACCACTTCCAAATTTTAGATCATAATGTTCTAAAAAGAAAAACCACTGTCATCAAACCAATTCTGACCTAGAACAATTCTACAGGGCACAGTAGAACTATCCCATAGAATTTGTGAGTCTGTAAAATAGCCTCAACTTTCTTCCATAGAGCAGGTAGTGGGTTTGAACTGCCAATGTTGCAGTTGTTGTGAAAACAGATTGAAATTTGTTTCCCTTGGCATGCACACATTAAATTCTTTAGCAACAACCACCAATGAATTTCATAAACTTTTTGTAGTAAGGATTGAAATAGTGCTTAAAACACTATTTGGGGCTTAGAAATACTCTATGTTAACTAGAGACTTTGAAAAGATGTTATTTACTCAAAAATTAATTTTTGTAAATGAATACATACATTATATTTGTGATAACCACCATAGGAGACAAATTGAATCACATATATTTTCCAGAATTACAAAGATTACTTTTACATTATTTATGCCAAGACCTGAAATTAAGACTGGAACTAAAACATTATAATAGTTTCATTTGAAAGTAACTGTGTTTGGGGAGAGAGGTAGAAGAACAAGGAAGTTAGGGAAATACTTAGGTAAGTTTGCATTATCTAAATGTGACAGAGGTAAATAGTGATGTATACTCAACCTTGGAACAACAGGGCTCTGTGATACAGGGATGGAGGCACAGTCTGAATGGGTAAAAAAGGAAAAACAATATTAAGGTGCTTCACTGTCTTGTGGATATTGATTTCCCTTGCCTATTATTGTAAAATAGACATTTAGTGGGATTGAAAGGAATATTGGGAAATATGATGACAGACAGCTTGTAAGCCCATCTTTAGCCTATAACTGATTGGAATACGTAACAGGGGTTCTAGAATTTGCCCAGTGAAATAGGCTTCTTGTTGAGTCTTTGTAGAGTGTGGGGTCTTAGGTGGAATCCTGAGCCCTATCCAGAACGTTCTGAGGTGGGACATTGCCAACTCAAAGGACATGCAGATCATCCTGGAGTAACTAGAGGTACAGATGATGTTTTTTGAAAGAAAGACCAGCAAGGAACAAAAACAACAAAAAGCAGACTATTTGGCGATTACAAGAACAATTACATGTTCGCCTGGGACCATTGAGGGAAGCCATCAAGTCTCTTCAGGACAAACCCCTTCGAAGACTGAAATTCAAAGCGAACACACTAGCAGGCTTGTATGCTAGCTGGTGACTGCATTGGTCTACTTGTGAGTGGAAGTGGGGGAAAGGCAGTAATGAAGACATGGACTGAGTTTGACCACGTCAACTTTGAGATAAGAGAGAAATGAGGAAGGGCTGAAGTCTGGGGAGCCTTAGGAACTCCTGAGCCTATGGAGACTGACCTAGCCATTGGGAACTAGAGCTGAGAGTGAAGTGTCCAGTTGATATTAAGTGTGAAGTGAGATGCATAAGAATGTCCAAACTTGCAGATAGTACCCATTTGACCTAGTTTGGATGCCTTGATGATCAGAATACGACTAGAGGAAGATAAAGAAATTTGATACAGGAAACAAGTGTAAATTGCTACAATTTGATGAACTTGACCTATACTTATGGAATTAGGAGCTCAAAATACCAACCTAGCAGGAAGGAGTCTTCACATCAAGGATCAAGCCTATCCTCTCAGTAAAAAGGGTTGATAGGGACAGGCAATTTAGACATTGGCTGCCTAAAATGGGGGAACTATAAAGGTATGAAGTGGCTGGCTTACAAATTTTCAAGAGGGAGTTTAGTTTCAGAGCAAGAGGGGGGAAGGTAGAAGCCCCACTGAATAGTTTTCATCCTGTCTAGTTGGGTCTGGTGAAAGGAGATGGGGACAGAAGTCTTTTGATTCAATAGTGAGTAATTGTTATCATGACTAACTGCGATTGTCACAGATATAAAGGTAGAAGTTGTGTAACAAAAAGAGGGAAGTAGTTAATCTTTTAGTCCAGGAACATAAGACCCTAGGATCATCAAGAGGGAAGAACATGAGTGGAACATGGGTCCTAACCAGAGAAGCAGCAACACCAGAGACAGAGGCAGAGGTGATGACATGGAGTGATAGAGCAGGGGACTCTAGACTCACGGAAAGAGAAAGAATGTGTGCTGGCAGGCAGGAGGATGGCTTGCAAAATGTGCTCTTTGGTTGTTTAAACAATTATATATTCCTGTGTATTTTTGAGTTCATAAAAAAAAAAAAAGAGGGAATAGAGGCAAATACTGTTGCATGGAGGGGATTATAATCATTGTAATGAAACAAAATACGATTGGTTGAGTATAAAACCAATGATCTGCCATGTAAACTATCACTCAATTCACAATAAAAGATTTTTTTAAAAAAGTAAATAAGAAAGTAACTGTGTTAAAAACTATATGGATACTTACTAAAAATAAACTCTCCAGTATTAAAAAGAAAATTAGACATAAGCACCCAATAAACTATCATTGCACCAATGAGAGACACCAAGGAGAAAAGAAGACTGGACCACTGCCCAAAGGAGCCGAAATAGTATCTGCAGACATCTGGATATTCCCAGGTAGTGGTATCCAATGATGCTAGATAAAATAAAAGAGAAATAACAAAATTACATGTTGACCATATATTTCATATCTATGATTTGTGTTCTCTAAATTAACTCAAATATCAAGCAAGAAATTATGGTTATTCTACCATCAGATATTATCATATATCACCAATTAACAGTTATTAAAACATTATAGAATGAACACATAAAAATCAATAAAATACGATAGATATTCTGAGAAATGAATTATAGTATCATAAAACTTATTGTTTTATAAAAGAAACTGATAAACCAAGGCTAGGGAAAACAAACAAACAAATATCAGTAAGACATAGAAAACATTAAGCATAGACAGCAACATGGAGAAAAGTTCTCTCAGAATTATACTTTATACCACATGGAAATTACAATTCTAGATTATTAAGAAAGACAGACAACATAATATAGAAAGATTCTGAAAGGTTTCCTTGTTCTATTAACTGAAGAAATAAGTAGCTTAAAAGACAAGCAAATATACTCATCAATGGAAGAGTGGAGAAACAAACTTTGGTATATACATACAATGGAATACTATGTAATGTTGAGTAATAAGATGAATCTGTGAACCACCTCATAATATGGATGAACCCGAAGGGTATTATGCTGAGTAAAATTAGTCAGTCACAAAAGGTCAAATATTATATGGACTACTATTATAAAACCTCAAGAAAAGGATTCCATACTAAAAGAAACATTCTTTGATGGTTACTAGGGGTGGGAGGGAAGGGAGAGTAATTCACTGGGTCGAGGGTAGACACATTAACTCAGGTGATGGGGAGGGCAATATACAAGAAGGGGAAGGGCAATATATAAGAAGAGGGAGGCTGGCAGAAGAATGAAGAAGATAGGTGAAGACATAGGTAAGCATGGAAGGGCTAGAGGGGGTAGAGGTAAACAGTGATATATACACAATCTTAGAATAACAGTGTTCTGAGTGTGATACATGGTCAAAGGCACAGGGTATGATGAAGAATGGGATTATATATTATATATCCCACATATATGTAAGAGTTTTAAAGAGGGTATTTGTATATGAGTAACCACAAGAAGGAAGCGCAACAACTGTTGGTGCATGAAGGGGACTACAGTCATTGATATGAAACAAAGGGCATGATTTGTTGAATTTAAAACTGATGAGCCTGTCTGTAAACCTTCACTCATTTCACAATAAAAAGAAAGACAGGTAAATATGTATATATAAAAAACAAACCAACCTTTATAATATAAAAACCATTCAAATATTGAATGGGAAAGCAATTTACAAGAAATACCAAATAAAAGGCGAATACCTATATCATATACATATTTATAAGTGTACCAAGGGACTTATGAAAAATCAGGAAGAAGACAGAAATAATTAATAAGTTAAGAAAATGTATAAATGATAAATACTTATAAAAAATTTAACAGTAACATGGATACCTGAAAAGGTACTACTTTTCAGATATTAAGCAAGACAAACAAACAGAAGTAGGGAACCACAGAAAATAATGGCAAAATAAGGGCAGCACCGTACATCAGCAAAACTCTTTTTGCGTTTACAGAATCTACTTTTTTTTAAGGTTTGTATTGTGGATTGAGTGAAAGTTTACAGGGCAGATCATCAGTTTTACATTCAACAAATCATTAGCACAACTCTTATAGAAAGAAATTTAACAACTTATCTTATTCCCTATTTGTAGAGATGTAGCTTAAGCAAGTAATTCAAAAGAATACAGAGGTAGGCATAAAATATTTTCAAGAGAGAATATTTACAATAGCAAATATTTCAAGGAGAGTTATTTACAATAGCAAAAAGGGCAATGGTTAAACAAATACAATATAACTACAGTGTGCAACTGTATACAATCATTAAGAAATATAAAACATTGTAGAATAGAATTTACTAAAAAATAAAGGATAAAGGAAAAAGCAAAACTTTAATGCAGTAGCTCTACAAAGCCAGTCTAAATGATAGGCATTTATATAAAAACACACAAAGAACCAAAAATATTGCTATGGGTACAAATATTCATTTTTTGTTTTATATTTTAATGTTCAATTAAAAAGTAATAATATAGATACATTTAAATTATAAAAAACTATTTTAATTGTCATCAAGGGATAATTTCATAGTCTCTTTTCTTCTATGGGAGTCCCTGTGTATGTAGCACAAACAGTTAAGAACTTGGTTGCTAAAGAAAATGTTGGAGATTCAAGTTCACCTACAAGCACCTTGGAAGACCGAACTAGAGATCTACTTCTGAAAAATCAGTCACTGACAACCCTGTGGAACACAGTTCCACTTGGATACATATGGAATTGCCAGGAGCTGGAGTCAACTCGAAGGCAAATTAGTTGGGTTTTTTGATTCGTTCATCATTCCAGGCTCTGAACTCCTTTGAGCTAATTGTTATACTTGATGATTCTACAGAAATTGATGGTCTTGTCATCTCTTTGGCAAAATATGGCAACTACTACATGACAGAAAGCAGTGATGAAGCCTGAAAAGTTGAGGATATTAGAACATGGTAATTTAAAGATAAAGATGTTAAAGACAATACCAATATTGGAAATAATTTTCAAAAACTCTTCTAGCTCACACTGGAAGGAAAGAGAAAAGTAATATATAAGTAGCAACTCTGGAAGAATCTGTATATTCCCCACATATTGGTCCATGTAAGTGTCATCATGGCACTATTGCATCTATTCTTCTATTAAATAGATATTGGAGTTTGTTGTTATTATAAGTGCTGTCAAGTCGGTTCCGACCCATAGTGACCCTGTATATAGGGCTTCTAAGGAGCAGCTGGTGAGCTTGAACTGCTGACCTTGTGGTTCAAACTGACCTTGCAGTCCAGAGCATTAACACACAGTGTCACACCAGGACTTCAGAGATACTGGAGTATCCAGTATCAAAAGAAACAGTAAAAGAAAAGGGAAGCTATTTTATTTCAATGAACTTGCTTTTAGTCTGTAAGTACCCAACAAACATTGGGCTCTGATGAACATAGAGAACAGTATCCAGACATAGCACAGAAAAGGTGCTCAATGAGTGTTGGATAATGATCTGGTACATGTTCATGAATTACATAGGCACATGCACTAATGGTTTGAACAAAGGGTTTCGTATACTCTTTAAGAAAGGTCTTTATGGATTTGGTTTTACCACAACTTTGAATACAGACCCTACCTTGGAGGCACGTAGTTTTTTCAAATGTCCTCCTGGTTAATTCATTATCTGTCAGGATGATTTCTCATGAGGCTCCATAACTCTGATATTTTTTTTTTTTCTTAAAGCTTCTAGATTTTCTGTATTGGTTAGAAAAATCTCCTCAATAACTAGGTTATCAAATAACCTCTTAAATTTTCTTCTAAGATTTTTATGGTTTTATTATTATTATTTTTTTTACATTTGTCTTTACTGCATCTAAAACACATTTTTGTATAAAAGGTCAGATGTTGTTGTTGGGAGTGGCCATCAAGTTGGTTCTTACTTATGACAACCCCAGGTGTGAAAAGAACTACATTCCATAGGGTTTTCAAGGCTGTTACCTTTTGGAAGCAGATCACCAGACTTTACTTTCGAGGCATCTCTGGGTGGGTTTGAACCACCAACTTTTTGCTTGGTTGTCCAGTGATTAATTATTTGTGCCATCCAGGGACTCCTATCTAATAGTGTTACAGAAAAGGTTTTACATATGTAATTTTTTTTTTCTTTTCTTTTCTTTTTGGTACTGTCAGGTTTTGTATAAGGGTTGTGCTGACTTTATAAAACAAACTAAAGCTCCTCTTTTAAAATGGTATGAAATAGTCTAAATAACATTGGAGTAATCTATTCTCTAACCTTTATATAGAGAACTGAGCTGAGGTTATTTTCTCATCTAAAAATAGACCCCCAAATTAGACAAGCATAGACCAACAGAAACTTATAAGTTTAAGGAGATTTTCTATGTTCTGTTAAAATTTGTTTTAGAAACCAAATAGCTCCCCTTCTCATTTTAGAAATATATCTTCTTGCAGGATGTTAAAACAATCTTCCTCTAGTGATTAAGATCTGATTTGCTTAACATAAAGAAGGAAACTGCTTAGTAAAGACAGAAAAAATCTGGAGGCAAAACCTAGTCTGTTCCTGCGTGTACTGAGTTTATTGGGATGGGCAATTTAGACAATGGCTATCAAAAGAGGGGTGAGGGGCTATAAAAGCATGAAGTGGTTGACTTACAAGTTTTCAGGGGTGTGCTTAGTTTCAGAATGAGGAGGGTTACTGTAGAGTCCCTACTGACTAGTTTAACTCTTTTCCAGATGGGGCTTGTAATTGTGAGTAGGATTAATTGCAATTGTCAAAACTGTGATTGTAAAAAAAAAAACCAACAAAACTGTAATTGTAGAAAATGTGTAACTAAAAGGGGGAAGTAGTTAATCTTTCATTTCAGGAACAGAGAATTCTAGGACCATCAAGAAGGATGAGCGTGAGTGGAGCATGAGATCATATCTAGAAAAGTGGCAACAGTAGAGATGGTGGCAGAGGTGGTGACAAGAAGAGACAGAGTCTCTTTGGGCTCTAGACCCATGGAAGGAGTAAAGCTGTATGCCTGGGGGCAGGAGGCTGGTTTGCAGACTGTGCCCTTTGGACATTTGAATGAATATATATTTTTCATTTTGTATGTCCTGATGTGGTGCTGTAGGATAAGCACTCGACCATAAGGTCAGTGGTTTAAACTGACCAGCTGCTCCTCAGAAACCCAATACAGGGTCACTATGAGTCAGAAACGACTTAACAGCACTTAGTAACAACAATTTGCCGTTCTATTGTATACCCTAATCAACAACATGTATATATCAAATACTTTTGCTATGTTCATTTGTGAAATATAGGATGTAAATGGGGAACCACAGGGAAGGAGTAGGATAATGGTTGCGGCAGGGAGGGAATTTGTAATCACTGAGATGAGACAAAGTGTATAATTTTGCTGAATGTAAAGCTGATGATCTTGTCTATAAATGTTCACTCAATTCACAATAAAAAGTTAAAATAAAAAGAGAAGCCCCCTATATTGGAAGGCACTCAAAACAAACAAACAAAAACCTGGTATGTTGATTCAGTGAAACAATGCATGTTTATTTACCTACTAAGCTGCTTTAAAGTAACCTAAAAGATGTTTTGCTGACCCAGAACCCTGAGCCAAGTGCTAATACTGCTTTAAGAATTTGCTACAGAGGACACATTCCTTATATTTTAATATGTTCCCATTGTAATTTCCACTTTTAGGGGATTCCAACATTTAGATCTTTGGCATATACAGTTCAAATCAAGTCACCATTAAATGATAATAATTGATAATAATCACAGACGTGATAATAATCATAGAAGTCTTCATTTCCTTTTGGCACAGATCAAATAAAAAGCTATCTTTACTATTATGAGGAAACTAGCACTAAAGTGAATTTATTTTACAAAGAATTCCCAGCCTCACTGAATTTCCAAGGCATATCATTTCAGCAGAATGCTATGAATTAGTGAAGTAAATCTCTAGACACAAAGTAGACAGTTAACACACATTTGCACAACATATGCATTAGTGATATACTTTAATGGGAAATATGCATATCATTAATCTATTTTCACTGTGTAAAATTCTTACATATCATAGACCGTGATTTCACTACTCTGTAGCAGCAGTAAAGTGTTAAAAGGCCCATCAGCACGATGACACACAGTCCGGTGGTAAATCCAGCCTGTATAAATATAAAAGTACAGCGTAACATAAAGCAGCATGTCATCATAGATTCATATGCCGTTCTATTGTATACCCTAAACAGTCATAATAAAAACCTAAGAATTAGTGGAAAACTGAACAGAATCATCTACCTAGTTAACCATTTTTTTTTGCAGATTTATTAAACCTCTATTGTAAAACTTTAATTAAAAGAAAAAGAACTTCAGACAAAAATTGTGCTAAAAAATGATATTACCTGTTTTATGCCCCAAGGAATACTTAGTATAGATGTTCCCATCATGGTATTCCAAATCATAAAACTGAAAGGACAAAGTAGCAGCAGTAAAAATATGGAGTTTGGATCTTTAGACATTATAATAAGACAAAAATAGTCAGTAATTTTCATACATATGTAGTTTCAGTTATATTCCAAAAAGTTGTTTTACTCACATGGTTACTAAACTGCTGTTTTTACCAAAACCTTCAGTGTAACTTTTTAGTTTATACGCAGAACCCAGTGGACTGTACACGTAACACTCTTCTGGAGCTGGCAATACATGATCTGGGGCAATCTGGCAAAAAGAAAAATAGAGAAATGAGCTGCAATATGTGATAAAGAGTGTGCAAAATAGCAAAAAACCTGTCTCTAGACACATTTCTAATGATCATGGACAGTATGTGGTACTGATTAATGAATACAAATTTTTTTCCTAAAGAAATAGAAGATCGAAAGGGGTAAGAATTTAAAGACTATAAACACAACTCTCCACCTGAAATCAGAATGAATTTCTCAAATATACAACAGTAAAAAAATTTTTCTCTGGAAGAGCCATCAAAAAAGTGAGATAAAGAATCATCAGTGAAGACTTGTGCTGCTTAAATAAGAGGAATTAATTTCGAGAACCAAGTAGTCACTGAACACGTATATGAGGGTGAGTTTAGCAAAGTGGTAGGTTGTTGTTGTTGTTAAGTGCCGTTGAGTCAATTCTGACCCATAGCGATCCTGCATAGGGTTTCCAAGGAGCAGCTTGGTGAACTCGAACCACTGACTTTGCAGTTCGGATAACTTTGCAGTCTGGCACATTAACCCACAGCACCACACCAGGAGTGGTGGTAGCAGGTGAGAATTCAGACTATAAAGGACCGGGGAGTTAATAAAAGATGGAAAAAAAAACAAAAACAAAAAAAACAATAGTTAACTATAGACTATTTTTTGAAATTGGTTGCAGAACATGTGAGTTAAAGCAATGGCTTAAGGAGAAGCAAAAGCAAAGATTTTCAAAGATGGAAGAGATTTAAGTAAAGAAAGTGAAGTAGCCATGATAGACAAGTTGGAAACAGAAAGATAGAATACAGTGTTTCTTATACACATAGTTCATCTTATACCCATGTTTTGTCTTAATCCTATCCCCCCTCCTATTTTGAATATATAAAAATAATATCCTGATCTAATTTTGCCTACCTTTTTGAGAATATATCTTGAGATATTCTCCTTATATATAATTGCTAAAGGAATAAGAATTGGTTGCAATAATCTTTTACTTAGCATCTTGAGTATGTAAAAGATGTAGGACCCAGAGCAAGCAAAAAGCTAAAGAGCCTCACCAGAGCATGCAAATATATTGGATATAGGTCACACCCCTAAAGAAACTCCTTTTCAACCTACTGACTAACCACAGAAGATCTCATTATAGAAGTGCTTACATTATATCAGATCTCATTATAACTGACAAACCATGGAGAACATGGCACACCAAAGGTGACACAAAATCTTAACCATCACACACTTACTATAGAAAGTTACAATTCTGTGCTAGGCTTAGTATTCAAGAGAAAAATAATATATAACCCTGATGTGGCGTTGTAGGATAAGCACTGGACTGCAAGGCCAGTTTGAACCACAAGGTGAGCGGTTCAAATTCATCAGCTACTCCTCGGAAACTGTAAGTAGGGTTGCTATGGGTTGGAACTGACTCAACAGCACTTAACAACAACAAAAACAGCTTCAAGAAGTTTAAATTCCAGTTGGAAGGCACATGAAACAATTCAGCGTGGCTATCACACAAAATAGAGTTTCTGTTATTAAGTGCTGTTGAGTAGGTTCTGACTCATAGTAACCACCTCATATAGGGTTTTCCAGGAGTGGCTAGTGGATTTGAACCACTGACTTTGCGGTCCAGTGCTTATCCTATAGCACCAAACCAGAGTCCCTGGGTCGCACAAATAGTTACTGTGCACTTTGCTGCTTTGGGTGATTTAGCGCCTACCTCCAACTTAAAGGTGGAGGTTTGAGTCCAACCAGAGGTACTTTAGAAGAAAAGTTCGGTGATCTACTGAAAAAATCAGACACAGAAAATTCCATGGAGCCCCGTTCTCCTTTGGCACACATGGGGTTGCCTTGAGTTGAAAATTACTTGAATGACAACTAGTAACTAGTTACCATACAGAATAAAAATTAGGTGTCTAACTCTGTGGTATACTGTATCACATGAATAGCAAATAAATAAATAAACAAAATGGGGGCAGAAATGTTGTTATTGTTGTATGCTATTAAAATGGTTCTGAAAACCCTATACAGGGTTTCTGAGTGTGGCTTGTGGGTGTGAATTGCCAGCTTTACAATGAGTAGTCCAGCATTTATCTTACAGCACCATATGGAGAGAAGAATAATTGGGAGGGCAAGAATAGTTGGGGAAAACTTCAAGGAAGTTAGGAACATTAGGGTTCCGTACAAAGACGGGGTATGTATTTGTGCAGAAGTGTCAAATCCTTCCCCCTTATATATATTATTGGTCTTATATCCAAAGAATGTCTTGAATGTCATGCATTATGTGGCTTTGGACAACTACTTCCTAGATCTCAACATTCAAAGGCATATAAGGAAACATGATCTGTTATTTTCTCTTTACCCATAATCCTTTTGGGTTTGAGTTCTGTTGTCTTCTATCATGGACTGAAAAGAAAAAAGATCAGGTCCACATCTGTAGCAGGCAAAAACTAACTCACCCTAGCTGGCTAAGCAAGTTCAGAAACCATGAAAACTAAAAGTTATGTGGGGTAGGATTAGAAGGTAAAGAACAAGAGATGACCAAGTCTTAGGCAACACAAAAAAATCAAATGGTTGGATCCAACTGGCAGCAGTCTAGAGCAGTGCTTTCCAAACTTTGATTCATATGATTTAGAGAGGAATCTTGCCACAACGGCAAATTTTGATTTAGTAGGTCTGGAGAGAAGACTCAGATTCTGTACTTTTAACAACTCCCTAGTGATGCAACACTGCTGGCCTGTACAAATCACTCTTTGAGTAAGCAAGGATCTAGGGAATGTTGGCAGCTAAATAATCTTCTTCCCTTCCCCATTTTAGAATAAAAAATATACATAGGAAATTTTTCATAAATAAAAATATATAACTCTACAAAACCTTAGACTTGTATTTTTATAGTGTTGTTCTCTTAAATATCATTTAGAAAAATAATTTTTGGAGTCTCAAAAAATAAAGGTGAATATATAAATATAGTCATTAAAAATAATCAAATCATATTGTTAATTTTAGATCACCTCAGTTTCAGTTGACAGAAGGGATTCAACTTGGTGGACAAAGCTGATTTAACTTCTAGGCAAACAATGTGCATTCAGGCCTAGACTGGTCTAGCCGGTATCTGAAGCTTGCTTCCAAGAGTGGAGTCACTAGGTCTGACCTAGACCTGAAGATTCTAGATTATTTCAGGGCTCAGATTATTTTATTAAGGATCTAAGTCTTTACCATACCTACTGATAAAATGTTTCAGGAGGGATAGAGCCAAAATACTGGGGGAAATATTAACCCATCCAAACTATTGCAGAAATCCTTACTTTGCCTATGGAGAACATAACTTACTTTATAAAACTATAGTAATGACCCAATGAGATATATCTGCTCAAGCAAATAGCTTAATTTTTGCCCCACAGTAAAAATTTTGGGATCCTAGTGTGATGCTGTAGGATAAGCACTAGATTGCTAACTGCAAGGTCAGCAGTTCAAACCCACCAGTTATTCAGAAGCAACTTGATACTACTTAAGAACAACAACAGCAAACATTTAATGAATATTTGTTTGGTTCTCCATTTTTCATACCTAATGCCTATGTAAAAAATACAGAATTTTTCTTCCCAGAATAATTCCCTTTAAGATTTCAAGTTTTGAATATTTTATAGATACCCAATTTTATAAGCAATCAAATAATTTATAATATATATTTTGACTCTAAAATAATGAAACAAATTTTAGATGACTGAGGGACAACACACTATGGACCATGGACCAAGTCTGGCCTTCAACCTGTTTTTTTTCCCTGAACTAAGAAAGGATTTCATATTTTTTAATGGTTCTAAAACAAAAAGAAAAACAAAAAGGAGAACAAACAAGATGGTGGATGTGGTA